AACAACAACAACAACAACAACAATATTCTCCCCCCAAATGAAAATGAATGAAGACATCACAATAAATACTGTGCTCCCATTTACCTGACAACAAGACTAACCCAGCACCAGTTGTGTTTGAATCAATTCCAACTCATGGCAACTCTATGTGTGCGTTAGTCTGGGTACTTTGGAGAAACTGAGCCTCATAGGGTATTCAAGAGCTGATATCCCCCACCCCACCCCCAGTGATTTGCTGCTATTATCTGTCAGTGATGTGAGCAGTTATACGCATGGGACAAAATACACGAGACCCTTGCAAATTGAGATGAAAGTAATCATTTTCTCTCTTCTGTGTGGTCTGGACATTGGGGAGGGGCTGATTTTTTCCCCCAAAAAATAGATCATCAGGCTTGTCTTCTGAGTGGAACTTCTGGGTGGACTCAAAACTTCAATTTTTCAGTTTGATGGTCACCTATTTCTGAGATTTTATGTTAGCTTTGTAACTCGAAAGAAGGAAAGAAAAGAACAATAGGAAGATGTACACAGAAAGAATGCAAATTTATGGTATTACAAAACAGATGCAGGAAAAACTGAGTTAAGTCCCTGGGATCCCAAAGAAAGACTATAAGCTTATGTATATAATGTACCATAGAAATACTCAATGACACTTCAATCAACTCTAGGGAGCAAACAGCCTCTGAGTGTCATATTTAAAATATGAGGACAAAACAACATCACAAGCATCACCAGGCATCTTAGGGTTCCCATTACGTTTCTGGTCCTCAAGGAGTAGAACAAGGGTGAGGGGTGACATGGGATAGTCTCTGGCTCCCAAGGTTATCCTGGATGATGGGGCAGAAGAGCTTCTCTCCAGGGAGGCTGGTGGCCCCTCCAGCAGTGAGGTAATTTTGTGCCCCAATAAGCTATCTTTATCCAGAATTGTCCAGAAAAAGCAGGCTTGTAGATATCATTTCCCCCCCTGAGTTCAGAGTAAAAAGTAGCTCTGACTGGATTGAGCATGTGGAAGGGAAGCCTGACGTTCGGAAGTTTTACAAACCACAAAAAAGGGGTAGGAGGACTTGCCAGGTTATGATTCTGACTTTCGAAAAGAGGAAAGAATCAGGGACGACGGTGGGGGTGGAGGGGAGGGGGGTCAGAACAGGGCTAAGTAGATGGTGGTTTTTATGTCACCCGAAAGTCTTGCAGAAGGAGTGAGAACAATACAAGTTTCAATGGGAAAAAAAAGTTTCAATGTATATCAAGAAATTAATCCATCAATAAACCAACCAATACAAAGGATAACAACAAAAACCAACAACAATAACATTTACCACTTTGTTCTTTGTGAACAGCCAGTCTTGCCTTGGGAGAGACAGAAAAAAAGAAAAGCCCCAAGAGTTCGGGAAGGTGATCTTCCTTTGGATTTTATTCCTATTTTGCCTGTACACAAACAGTATATTCATCTTTAAATAGAATCCACAGTATATTCGAGAACAATTTGGCTTGAAATGGCACCCTGTCTGGGTGTAGTAGTAAGAACCAGAGCCTCTCTGTCCATGTCCATGAAACATTTATGGGGAAAATGAATAGGATTTTCCAGGCAGTCTCCCTCCACATCCTCCATCAGCTCCCTCATTTATTATAAGAGGCATCATTGATAGTCTCTGCCCCATCCATCTTACATAATCGCAAAGAGAACAAAGTGAGTCTAAATGTACCAGGCAACACAAACACGCGCGTAGTCACTCCTTTAGTCCCTCTGTTCAAAGGTGGAGGGGGCAGGGATTGCTAAAGTTGGACACTTGTATTCAAGGAAAAGTGGCGTTAGAACGAATCAAATCAACCTGGGCCCAGTTTAAACTGACCTGTAAGCAAAGAGCCATCCATGGTCCCTTATTCTTTCCCTGGGTTA